AAAGACAAAACAAATCAGACAGATCTAAACCAGTTTAAATTGTATTCTAATATTATTCAATTTGGTCTCCTTACAACCTCAAATTACCACTGTATACATATTTTACAATCATACAAAAGCTGTCAAAAGCAACTGAGTGGGACCAAATCTGCGGATATTAGACGCATCATGGTATTTACCAAAATGGAAACGACTTTTGAAAACTGTTCATTTATATTTACAAACTTGTAACGGTCAGTTTAGTATGACTTAAACCATTGTAGAGCCTGTCCCTGGACACCTGAAGAATTTTAAGTGATCTGATATTGTGGTCGATGGTGTCAAATGCAGAACTGAGATCAAGTAAAACTAATAACGAGATGCAGCTTCTGTCAGCAACTAAGAGTAAATCGTTGGTTATTTTCACTAACAGTTTTTGTGATGAGGAAACTTGACTGAAACACTTCAAAAACACTGTTCATCTGCAGAAAGGAGCATTATTGGGCTTAAATTACTTTTCTAGTATTTTAGACATAAATGAAAGATTTTAAATAGGTCTATAATTAGCTAGATTGCTGGGGTCCGATGTGGTTTCTGAATAGAAGGTTTAGTAACAGCTAGCTTAAAAGCATTATAAACATGGCCTAAAGATAAAGAAGAGTTGAGAATGTTAGGAAGTTCTCCCACTACAGGTAATAACCCTTTCAGTAATATTGTTGAATTTGGGTCTAACATACATGTAATTGGTTTAGACATATTTAAAAGTTAATCTAGCTCTTCCTGTTCTATAATTTTCAAGCACTGTAGATTATTTTGATTTAGTGGAAAGTTTTATGAATCTGAATTATAAGGTAGTGCAGAAAGTTTAACATCTTACATTTTCTGTCTTAAGTCCCTTTAAAAAAAAACACTGCAGTTTTTTAAAGAATACTGCCATTTTAGTTAATTTATAAAAAGGGCAGTTTTTTGGACACAAAAAAACTGCATTATTTAGGTATATTGCAGTATTACTGCAATACAACTGAAATACTATAATACAACCAACTGCAGTACATCTACTGCTATACAACTGAATTACTACTACAGTACAACTACTGCAATAGTTCTGAAGTAGTACAACAACAACTACTACAGGTACTACTTTTCCTGCTCGTTGGACAATAGCTTCCAAATGAGGTTTCAGTACTTCAGTTGTTTTGCTGAAGTACGTCCACAGTATATGGTATTGCATCTTTATTAGTATAACTAACAACAGAAACACATCTATAATACTGCAATACATAATAAAACTAAAGTGCACTTTTAATACTTTAATACTTACCTAGTTGCAATATATTATATAACATTTTACTATTTTGTCCTTCCAAGTTTATTTAATATATAAACTAGATTATTTTCATTATAAACTAGAAGTTCCAAGAGTTCAGTCAAAGCAGGGTGAATCGGCTTTTAGCCACTATGCCCCTCGCTGCTGGAATCAGCTTCCAGAAATGATCAGATGTGCTCCAACATTAGGCACATTCAAATCAAGACTGAAAACACATCTGTTTAGCTGTGCCTTTACTGAATGAGCACTGTGCTGCATCCGACAGATTGCATCATGTTTTTACGCATTTTTATTATTTGTTTTTATTTTTATTTTACTTGTTTCTTTTATTCTTGTTTATGTAAAGCACTTTGAATTGCCATTGTGTATGAAATGTGTTATATAAATAAACTTGCCTCGCCTTGCCTTGCCTAATGTTACTGCAGATTTTACTGCTGTTGCATTAAATTTTGCCACAGTTATCCTTGTATATAGGCTATTGCTGCTGTACTGTTCAGTTCACTGCAGATATTTTATATTATGTGTTTCTATTTAAAAATAATAATAATAATAATCATTTAAAAATTACTTAAAGAAAATAACATCCCAGAAAAAAAAGTACAAAATATTCTTGCAAGATGTGGAAGAACAAACCTCTTGGTTACACAAGTGCAGTGTTCTTACCACACCACTAGCAAATTAGACTACAGCAGCACAAGTGCAATAAAGTCAGAGTTTATTTGTATTTACTTTAGTTAACAGCAACTTGTACTGCTGTTGAACTTTATTGTACTGTATTTGAACTGTGTTTATACTTGAGTGCATTGCAATTTTGTAATTGTACCTAATTTTACTGCAGTTATACTTCATATACTGCTGTTGTACTGTAGTTATACTGCAGTTTTACTTCAGTTTTCTGCAGTTATTTTTTGTACGTGGCCTTCTATTTTATTACAAAAAAAAAAATAAAAAAAACATTACTAATTTGCGGTGGGACATTTTGTTCCACAGATGACAGATTATTTGTTAATTTAGCAATGGTGTTTAATAAAAATCTAGGATTGTTATCATCATTTTCTATCAGTTTGTAGAGGTGCTCAGCCATGATGGATTTTAGAGCCCTCCTGTGGCTGGACATACTGTCTTTGTACCCAATTCTAAAGACCTCTAAATTATTATTATTTTTTTTGTTCCACGTACGTTCCAGGGCACACTGTAAAAAATTTTAAGCCAGTTCAACAAAAAAAATCTTAGTACTAATTTCCTTCTGTTTTTTCTTGTTTACTCAACTTTTGAAAACATCAGCTACACTGACTGAAAATAATTTGTCAGTGAAACAAAAAATGTCTAGTTGAGTCAACTTAACATTAGTAGTTTTCTGGAAACCTGCACCTGCAGCACAACAAATATTTTTAAGTTGTGCAAACTGAAAATTTCTTGTCTGCAGGACTGAAATGACAGAAGTTGAGTGAACAAGAAAATACAAAAGGAAATTAGTACTAAGAAATTATATGTTACCAGAGCAAAAGTTGTGTTAACTGAACATTTCTTGTCTGGATGGCCTGAAATGACAGAAGTTGAGTGAACAAGAAAATACAAAAGGAAATTAGTACTAAGAAATTATATGTTACCAGAGCAAAAGTTGTGTTAACTGAACATTTCTTGTCTGGATGGCCAAAAATGACAGAAGTTGAGAGAACAAGAAAATACAAAAGGAAATTAGTACTAAGAAATTATATGTTATCCGAGCAAACACACATGGCTCTGTTTTTTTAAGTTGTGCTGACTGAACATTTCTTGTCTGAATGGTCTGAAACTACAGAAGTTGAATGAACCAAAAAATACAATTGGAAATTAGTACTAATAAATAAAATGTTATCGGAGTAAACACACATGGCAAAAAAAGACATACATTTTACCAAAACATTCATTTTCTTGCGGTTCTTCACTAAAGTACAAAAACAAGGTAGTGTATCTGTAAAAAAAAACAAAAAAAACAAACAAACACTAAGTCAAATTAATCACATGAAAAGGAAACACAATTATATTAAATATATAACAATTACAGCACATCTCTGAGACTACCTAACACTATCAATTTTAATAACCTTAGAATATCCCATAAATTATTCACAACACCCTGCTGAAAAAACAGCGTAAGCTGGTAAGGTATGTTTTGATGCTGGTCTCAATGCTGATTTTGCTTGTCTCAATGCTGGTCTTGCTGGTTTCAGTGCTGGTTTTGCTGGTCTAAGTGCTGCTCCTGACCAGCATTGAGACCAGCAAGACCAACATTGAAACCAGCATTAGGACCAGCATTAAGACCAGCAAAACCAGCATTTAGACCAGCAAAACCAGCATTAAAACAAGCAAGACCAGCATACCAGCATCAAAACATATACCTTCCCAGCATAAGCTGTTTTTTTTTTTTGTTTTTTTTTCCAGCAGGGCAATTAGAGCAATAAATCTGAATTACTAGTTGCCTTGAGATATAAATCTTAGTATTTGTTGTAATTCATTTCAAAATCTATACTTGCATAATTACGTTTTGTGCTGGTACCTTGGCTGGTCATGGATAAATATGATATTAAAACTGCCAGTAAAGGATCTTACTTTAGTAATAAGTGTTCCACTGTATACACCTTCAGTTAAAAATGAACGATTTATTACTATTATTTTGGTTTTGATTTGATTTTGTTTGCTTAATATAATAATAAGCAGTTGGAATATACGCGCTGTCACTTTAAGAGCCACCCTAGATAGTAAAATACACTTGGACTAGTTCCAGCTAGATTCGCTGCCGCATCCGAGCCAGAATCGGCCCGCGAGTAATGTGCGCTGCAGCCCGGAGCTGGCGCAACTCAATATACCTTGATATAAAACCTTTTGGTTATATTGGTACTTGATACATGGTATTACAACCATTTGAATTTATATACCAGCAAACGCAAGCTATAATGTAAAGGCAAAGTGTAGGCACTGCATTCAACCTTTGAATAAAATGCAAACAGCATACATATCCAATAACAAAAATTATCAAACAAAGGACAAAATAAATAATAATAATAAACATTTATTGATTGCAATAAACAAATAATACTAAACTTGAATAAAATATTTTGTAGTGCACAAGTAATAATAAAACTACACAATAAAGAAACACAGGAAGATTTAAAGACAAAATCTGAAATTGCACACATACACAGAAGTTTTTAAAACAACCCTGTTTTCCCAATAGACTTGAATTAAAAAATTGTACAAGACATATCTTAAAACAGCTCAATTTTATATAAACCTGAATATAGAAACCAATTTAAGATATAGCAAGAATCATCTTACAAATACCCATGACAATATGTAAAATATACAAGTCAAAATTGTAAAAAGAACTGCAGAATTCTTAAGAAACATTTTTAATAAATGTAATAAATAAAACATAATAATACATTTAAATGAGTGAGATGATTATATATATATATATATATATATATATATATATATATATATATATATATATATATATATATATATAATTTGACTTGTATATCTTTATATGTCTTGTGCAATTTTTTATTAATATTTTTATTATATTATGTTAATTAAAAATGTATTAAGATGCTTTTTCAGAATTTAGCATATTGTCATTTTTTATATATATATATATATATATATATATATATATATATATATAATTGGAAATAAAAGAAACAAATTACCCAAGTATCAGGGAACATCTTAATACACTTAAAATGTTGTTTAAAAAATAAATTATTGATGTAGACATTTGACACATTAGCTTTCTCTTCTTCCCTCCTTCCTCCAGCCCTGTCAGGAGCACGTTGTAGCCACCTTGTAATGCATTTTTCCACTTCTTTATCAGTGGTGTGGTATGGACATTTCTCCTCACTACATCTGTGATTAAAAGATAAACAAACAATTAGTAGTGAAAAAGTACAAATGAAAAAAGAAAGATGCTTGCTCTCATATAAGTACAACCTAAATGGGACTATATATAGATGTTTTGTTCCTTTGATTAATGATTCAAAGAAATACACAGATGTAACTGCCCCTAATTGTACTGAAATGTATATTTAAAACCAACTTACTGACTAGACAGTCCTAAGGGAGAGTGCATGAAAGGCCACATTTTGGTTTGCCCTGCTCCAGTTAATTTGTTCAGCCAAAAAGTGAGCCAAAAGCTTTCCCGGGACACACCAAACTGCTTAGTGGAAAACACCCATGATTCCAAAGTAGGCTACCTACGAAGCAAAAAAAAACACATAAATAAATAAATAAATAAATAAACATAAAACACTTAGAAATAAGCAAGAAACTTACCAGTTTCTTCATTTGTTCGGGCTGCTCGTTTAGTTGATTTTCAAGTTTTTACAAATCAAATTGGACAAAGAAAGGTCAAATGTGTTTACATCTGGAATTTCATCACGTCTGTTTTGGTTTTGCTGATTTGTGAGAATCAGGCACAGTTGCTGCTTTATGACGTAACATGATTTTAAAACTTTTTTTCAGTCGTGCTAAAAAAGAAAAATAACAAATTAGTATAAATCAACCTGTTGCTTATTCTCATGCAACTTGTGTAAATACAACAGTGGGTTAGACACTGCTGATATTCTCTAGTTGATCTTTACTTTCTAGCTGCATTAAGCCATTACAAATTTAGTGATGTCTTGAATTCTTACAAAGACATGACGAGTTGCAATAAGTTGTCTTGATCTCGGACTGCACTTGAACAAGGACTGTAAATGTTCATAGGTGTACTGGAATGTACAGCATCTGTGCATCTTGATGGTGTTCTTAAGGATCCTGCCATAGTCATTGGTGGTGATGGTACTTGTGGTGCTGCATCAATTTCTGAAATCTTCATATCAGTTTTTTATCCAGCCTCTTTGTTCCAAATACTTTTTCTTCATCACGTTCACTATAGTTGTGTCTTTAATGCCCCTTGATCAGATACATTTACAAAACAAAACATTATTTTAGTATAGTGCAGGGCACTAGATCAATGACAATGGCAGTGTAATAGATCAATGACATAATGTTGACAGTATGTGTTTAAAATAATTGCAAACAAACCTGTTCTTTCTTTAGGTGTATGACGGGCAATCACCGTCCTCATCTGTCTGCAAGCCAAGCTGAGTCGAGCTTCCTCATGTGTGTCTATAATAAAACATCACATTGTTGTTAACCTCCCCCAAAAAGTTAAAATCCTGAAATACTATCAAAGTTAATTAATGGCTATAATACCTATGGTGTAAATAATCAGCTCACTGAAGGTTGCACAGGATTTATTCAGAGATTCATGCAGAGTGACAGCCTTATGAATCTTAGACATAGATTTGTAAGATGGCCAAGCACATGCATTATTCTGTACCCATGAAGATTAACCTACCATTGTGGAAAATGTTTGATGATGATGATAGCCAATAACAATAAACCATTTCAGCTGTTTGTGAAGCAATTAGTAATGTAAAGTCTGAAAAGCTCAATCTATGTTGAAAATGTATCAGCAGTTTACAGGTTATAATGGACTTTAATCACCCAACTATAACATGCCTATTCACATGTTCATAAGAATGTGCTATTGGTCTCTGTGATGTGCTACAAAATGACCTCACTAACCTTTGTTAAACAAGAACAGTAAGACTTAACCGAAAAAATATTCATTTATACCCATTCATTTAAATCAGAAAGTATAACTGTCAATAACCAAAAAATAAAACCCATCAAAATCTGCTTTAAGAAATTTAGTTTTATATGTGCAAATTACAACTTGAACATAAGATATAATTGATTCACATAGGCTAACACATATAAATTAAAGCACATACTAATATATTTCTCTTAATAATAGAATGATAATTTAAAGAGAACAGTAAACGATCACTGATGCACTGCATAAACAAGTTAAACAATAACCTAACACTGTGAAAATGTTTTAAGCATTAAATTCGCAAAGTATACAGTATACAAGCAGCAAAAACCTTACCTTTCTGACTGGAATCCACTGTTTTGAAACGCCAAACTTCTTTTTCTTCTTGTGATCATCATAGCGGTTGGCAACCAGCTTTTGGAACATTACCGCCACCGTCTGGATTGGAGTTTGGACCAAGAGTTGACTCACGCATGTGTTTCTTATGAAACCAAACTTCTGCTTAAAAAACAGTCTGCATGGAAGCGTGCCATCTCGAAAATAAGCGCATTTTACACTGTTTTCCCTAGATGATATATATAATCCATTTATAAATAATATTGTTTTGTTTGCATCTAAACATTGCGACCATCCACACTAAATGTTTTTATTATTTTGTTGCTGTTGTACCATATATATTTTCTCAAATTATCATTAAACGTGGAGCTAACAAATTACTAGATAAAATAAGAATTTAATCGGTTGTCATTAGTTACACAAGCCGAGTCCTTATACGAGCCGAGACAGACTCGGGCCAGATAGGGTTAACAGGAATCTGGGCAGTGTTTACAACTGCATCACAAACGCATGTGCGCGAGCGAGCTGCGGGCCACACTCCGCCCGTATAACACTCGTTGATGCCGAGTCGGAGCCGGAGGCGCCGAAGAGCAGCCGAGCTCGGGCCGATTACTTTCTGCTACCCGGGGCATGGATATGATTTACGGCAACACAAATATTCATTCACTCTTATCACATAACAAAGAGAGATTATGTGAATAATCACTAAGCGCCGCATCTGCACACATTTTTGCGCGTATATGATGAACATTTAGGAGGACAAATTTAGATGAAGTGTCTTAAACAAAGAACTACAATCTTTGCACACTTACTATTAAGATTGCTCTTCCATGGCTTGCCTCTTTCCTCACCGAAGTACAATGCTTCCAGTTTCTCCCGCCTGAGACGTTGACGTTACGTAAGCGCAACCATCATAACGAGGGCGTGGTTTAGCTCAGGACAGAATGATGCTATATATCGTCCTTTGAGAAACATATTTTTGAGTGCGTGGTTTATTTTTAAATATTGGAATATCAAAGTATGCCTTTCTTTTTTTTAAAGGGTAATGAATAAACACGAGATGATAATGTGTGTGCAAGCTTATTTCTGCAAATGTGCACCAAATAAAGTTAAACTGCAAATGAAAAGTTTCAAATAAAGTTACTATAAGTATTGTAGTGTTTTTTGTTGTTTTAATAACAATGTGAAGAATAACGATATTTATTATTGTATTAATAATAATAATAATAATAATAATAGCATTTTCACTCAGCATTTACTTTTTAATACAAACCATGAAAGGTTCTATACTCATTCATTCATTTTCTTGTTGGCTTAGTCCCTTTATTAATCTGGGGTCGCCACAGCGGAATGAACCGCCAACTTATCCAGCAGGTTTTTACGCAGCGGATGCCCTTCCAGCCCCAACCCATCTCTGGGAAAAGGTTCTATACTGCCATTGATAATTTTTTTAGAATATTTAACATGTTTGAAACCTTTTCAATCAACAAAAGGTTATGCTACTTGTATATTCATTGCATTAAAAAAGTCAGAGATTGACTTAACACAAAAAAACAAGTTGGCAGATGCTTTTTTGAATGAACTAGCAAAGTGTTGCTCACAAAACTCATCTTTTTAACTTAATGAATAAAATCTTTGTTTAAGTTGATTGAATGTGTTAAATGTAGTTGTACAGACTTTTTTACAGATTTTTGCTGAACCAACAAAAAAAATCAAGCAATTTCAACATTTGTCAAGTTGGATTTTTTACAGTGCACGATTTTCTGTTTTGAGAGCAAAACCAAAGCATCCTAGAGATGTTGCCAAAGTTTTTCAAGATTTTGTTTTTATCCCAAACACACCAGTTACTCCACCTTAGGAGTCCTTAAGGCTGATTTATACTTCTGCGTCAAACACCGGAGTGGCCGTGGCCGTCGCCATCACTGACGTGCACCTCTCAAAAAATGTAACTACACGTCGCAACAACGCGTAGCGCAAGCCCTGTGATTGGTCGGCTTGGTAGCGCTGACGAGTCGGGGCGTGACCGAGAGCCGCGCGAATGGCGTGAACCCAATGTAGCGATTGTTTACAAGTGTGGAGTCCCGTGAAGGAGCTCCGGATGGAAAGTTTTGTTTTGTGTTTACCTCATAGTTAAAGTTGCTGCATGTCCGCCGGTTCCTGCCTCAAAATAAGCAAGTTTGAGCCACTTGTACATCCCGGAAGTGTTCAGGAAAAGCAAAAAAGCAGCGAAGAAACTCGACTAAATGCACAGCCATACACGTTGCCTGCGCCATGGGTTACGCCGGTCACTTGACGCAGAAGTATAAATCAGGCTTTAGTCCTCAGTCCTAGCCTGAATTTTTACTTCCACAGTGCTGTAACAGTGTCACAATTACCAGCAATCTAGGCTTGTAGATCGCTGGGAATCATTCATTTTCACTAAGACTACAATCCCAACACCATATGGACTACAAAACAGTAGTATGTGTGTGTGTGTGTGTGTGTGTGGTCATGCACCTGTTCCGGCTTTCCACTGTTAACACACACTTACAAACATACAAGTAAAACTCATCATTCATTCATTACCTGGATTATAAAGACACATGCACAAACAAACACACACGCACACACGCACACACACACACACACACACACACACACACACACACACACACACACCAACACACACACACACACACACACACACAACCTATACATAAAATGAATAAATTTAACATAGACTATCTGCACACTTTACCAGTACAAAAATATGGACAAATTTAACCGACCATCTCTTTTGTTAATTATCCTTTAATCTTATTTCTTTTTATTATTTATTGAAGTTATTTTCTTATTAAAAGAAAGCAACACAAATTTGTCTATACAGTAGCCGCATTTCCACTGTCGGGCCAGTGCAAGCCAGGGCTATAATCAGACCGGGGCCTGGCCGGGCCAATTGCCCAGGAAGTTGAACAGTGAGGCCAAAATCATGTCGCATTTCCACTGTCGGGCAAGAAGCTTGCAGCGCATTACGCAAACCTCGCCCCCAGAACGTCCCCCGAATCAAAAGGTCACACAACCCGCCCACTTCAGCGGGAATCAGGCAGGTAAAGCGTAGCATCGCATCATCATGAAACAATTCAAATAAAGACATCCGAACAAACAAATGACCTATTACTGTTCAGCACTACATTATATGTCTATACACAGAGATCTGTGTGTTCTCATTCATCATATTCATTTACTCGCCGACCGACTGTTGGTATCGAAATCGAGTGGTCTCGCCACATACCGAGGGACCCAGCGCAGTGAGCGCACCAATCCATAATATAAAACCAACAGAAATTCTCTGTTAATAAAGACAGAAAAATGAAAATAAAAAATAAAATGTATTTTATTACATCCTCGTTTTGATAGACGCCATCAAACATGGAGCCCAAATGCTCCGGAAAGACCTAAACATTAATTTTTTTTCCCTTAAGGCTATATGACACTTAATAGGTGATTCCCCTTAATTTAAGGATATTTAAGGAAAGTGGTAAGTATTTCAGCACATAAGAGCAAATAATGAAATATAGCCTATGTTTCATTGCACTCAGCAGCTATCCACTAATAAAGCTCTTCATACATTTAAGAAAAAAAGATAGCCCAGCCTACAGAAAAAAGGTCGCCTAGTTTTTGCTTTCATTCACCCAAAAAATGCTCAGTTTGCATGATTTGATTAATATCATCATATACAAATAATAAATAATATTTCAAACCTTCTTCTGTGTTTATTGTTTTTAGAAAATATCTAAAATCGTTTTTTTTTCAGATAGACCTTTGCTTTAAAACGATTTGATTTATGTAGGCCATTGTATATACCTAAATTGATTTAGCTTTTGTTTGTTTTATATTGGTTTATTTATTTAATGTGATTTTATTATATCCGATATTTGTAATTCTTTAAATTATTTCAATATAGCTTAGGCTTTTTTATAAAGATATGACACTATTGATTTGAGCCTACAAAAGTGGACATGAAATTTGTAAAGTTTCATGTCTTTCTGTTGTGTTTATATTGTGTATTATCTCCAAAATAAATAAAAAGAAAAAAGCTGTGCGGCATCAACAGAGCTGTGAAGGGAGCGCTCTTTTGTTCGGTCTCACACACACATACAGGCATCTAAACATGCACAAACACACCTTTTAAACTTGATAAAAACTCTTGACAACCTTTGCCGGCCACTGGCCCCAAAAAAGCCTTGATTTGGCCTGATTAGGCCCCGGAAGTGATAGTGGAAACACGACTGGCCTTGGCTCGCCCTGACTCGCTCGCTTTAGACGTGATAGTGGAAACGCGGCTAGTGTTGTCCACCTAAGTGTTGTTGTTGTTTTTTTGTGTGTGCTGCAAAATCAAGTTTGCATGAGTGCTAAAACATTGAGCTGTGAGCACTTTTCCAACTGTCAAAGCTTTTAAAATGTACACTTAGTGTACGTAACACAAATATTTTATTTCACCCACTTGTTATTCAGTCATTTTATTTTTATATAACATTGCAAAGATTTATTTTTCATTTGATGATGCCACTTTAATTGTCATTCCAAAGAGATTTACAAAGCAGAAATAGTCCTTCATTTAGATGTGGTCACAAGACTGCATGAAGTTGAGTGAATTTATTTACGTTTACATTTATTAACGTTCATTAACATACAAAACAATTATTTCTTCACTCTTTTCTGTTTGTTCAGACTACTCATTTAAAATTAGCTGGAAGAACACAATTCTAGAGTTTTTAATTGTAAACTTAATTGTTTTATTATCAATTTACTTACATTTGTAAAAAATAAATAAATAAAATTAAGTTAAATTTCTTCCTTTATGTTGCTCCAACACAAAACCCAGCATTTTTTACAGTGTATGTGCCTGAATAATAAGATATATAAATGTTAATTTGAATAGTTTGTTAATCATTTACTTACTCATTCTAATTATCTTAAAAACTACCAAGATACTACTACACCATCAGTAGGTATTACACCAACAATAAATAGTTTGTAAATAATGCAAGTGTTAATTTAATAATGAAACATAATCATTAACAAAATATGCAAATACAATCATTAAGCACACTATACCTGTGCTTATTAGTCAAGAATACTGTCACGACCGGGTCTTGAACCCGGGTCTCTGGTGTGGAAACCGATGTGTATACCACTAAGCCACAGAGGAAGTTGTGTTGGACCCAAACGAAAACACTCCAAGAGGGATTCCGGAAAACAAGGATTTATTAAAAAAAATATCAACTTAGGTTCTTCTCAAAAATGAGGTAGCAAAACAGACAACTTAGGTTCTTCTCAGAATGAG